CCTTAATTCCTTGGAAAATGGATTCCTGAACAGAAAGTCCTTTCCTACACCTATATCTTATAGGGTACTGACTATGTTTTTTATTTAACTTTTTACACATATTACTCTCAGTTCCTTTTCCCTCTCCTCCTCCCCCAGCTACTCACTCTTCCCAACCCACTCTATCTCCCTTCCCCTCCTCAGGGAGGGTAAGGCCTTCCATGAGGGATTTTCAGAGTCTGTCATATAATCCCGGGCAGGGCCTAGGTTTTTCCCCATGTGTCCAGGCTGAGACATCATCCTCCATGTGGAATGGGCTCCCAGAATCCATTTGTATGCCAGGAATAAATACTAATCTACTCTCCAAGGTCCCATAAGTTTCCGAGGCCTCTTCTCTGACCCCAGGTAGGGGGTGGTGGGGAGTGGGTGCGGGGTGGTTGGGTGTCTGGATCAGTCTTGGGCTGGTCTCTCAGTCATCAGTCTGGGGTCCATGCGTTCCCTCTTGTTCAGGTCAGCTGCCTCTGTGGGTTTCGCCAGCCTGGTCTTGATTCCTTTGCTCATTACTCCTCTTTGCAACTGGATTCCAGGAGTTCAGTTAGGTTTTTAGCTGTGGGTGTCTGCCTCTGCTTCCGTCAGCCATGGGATGAGGGTTCTAGGATGACATATAAGGTAGTCATCAATCTCTTTATCAGGGGAGGGCATTTAAAGTAGCCTTAATGCCAGTTGGTGTATTTTTTGTAGATCTGTGAAGATCTCACTAGTGCCAGATCTCTCCTCCAACTTATAATGGCTCTCTCTATTATGATATCTCTCATCTTGCTCTTCTCTATTCTTGCCCTGGCTCAACCTTCCTGCTCTCCTGTGTCCTCCTCTCCCCTCCTCTTCTCCCCCTCTCTTTCTCCCATCCCCCCCCACTGGTGGTGGGATTGTAGGCTAGCAATCTCCTGCTCCATGTTTAAAATCCATATATGAGTGAGTACATACAATGTTTGTCTTTTTGTGACTGGGCTACCTCACTCAGGATGATTTCTTCTAATGACATCCATTTACCTGCAAATTTCAAGATTCCATTTTTTCCTGCTGAGTAGTACTCCATTGTATAGATGTACCATATTTTCTCTATCTACTCTTCAGTTGAGGGGCATCTAGGTTGCTTCCAGGTTCTGGCTATTACAAATAATGCTGCTATGAACATAGTTGAGCAGATGTCCTTATTGTATAAGTGTACATTATTTGGGTATATGCCTAAGAGTGGAATTGCTGAATCTTGTGGTAGGCTGATTTACATTTTCACATTAAATTGTCTTTCCTATTTCTATGAAGGTTGACAGTAGAGTTTTGATTGGCATTGCACTGAACCTGTAGATCACATTTGGTAGTGGATCCAAATACACTACTTTTAAGTCATAACCTTCTACCCTTTGCTGGTATATGACCATGTTATAATAGAAAATTAATTTAGTTCAATTTCAAAAGTCTTCATAGCCTTCAGTGATTCTAAAACCTTAAAGTCTAATGTCTCCTATGAGTTCCTACAAAACTAAAATAAGATTGCTTTTAATTTAAATAAAAACTATAAACTATAAAAATATAAGTTACATACTTGTACCACATAATGGTACAGAGTAAACATTCTCATTTCAAAATGGAAGGACTGTGATATAACACGAAATAATCATACCAAGTCAAACTCCTAATTCAGCAGGACAAATAACAATTTCAACACCATATCTGATGTCTGGGGCTTGTAATCAAGTGTTTCAAAAGGGCTTGGTAGCTTTACCCCTCCAGCTCTATACTTATACTTTTCTTAGCAGGCACCCCATAGTCTTTGTATCTCTAATATCCAGGGGTCTCTACTGAAACTTGGGTTTCACTTTCACAACTGCCTACAATGGCCTCTTAGGACTTATTTTCAGGGACTCTGACCCTACCACATGCTGTCTGGCCTCAGCTGCTTTCCCCCTAAATCATGTGCTTTTAATGCTGCCATCTTGGGATAAAGCCTATACCACCTCCACCCAGACCACAGCTGTGTCTCCTTCTGTATGATGACTCAGGAGAGAAACACTTTATTGGGGAGTTACTTTTAAGGAGCAGGAAACCCCTTCAGGCTAGGCTTTACTTTTTAACTGAATTTGGGTCCTCATTAGATAAAGCCTTCGAAGGAGTTAGATTTTGCCCTTGGTAAACCTTTCAGTGTATAACAGACTTCTTTTCAGTGATGCATATTTCTAACAATTGCAGCTCTTTTCTCAGAAGTAAATTGAATATGTTCCTGTCTTGACATTTCTTCTGCCAAAAAATTAGTCCATTATCTTTAAATTCTGCTTCACATAGGTTCTCAGAACACAGAATGAATAGACAATTTTGGCCAAAATATTACACAGATGGCCCCTGGATTTATCCTGAACTGGAAGTAGCTGGTGACCTTGAAGCTGCTGATCCCCGTTTTACAAAATTTCATGAGCCGAGCCAGGCGTTGGTGGCACACACCTTTAATTCCAGCACTTGGGAGGCAGATACAGGTGGATCTCTGTGAGTTCAAGTCCAGCCTGGTCTACAGAGAGAGTTTCAGGACAGGCTCCAAAACAATACAGAAAAACCCTTGTCATAAGAATGTCCCATTAAGCTCTGCTTCCAGCATGCTATGACCTTTCTAGCCCTAAGAACCAAACTCTTTAATACATCAGCTACAAAACAGTCCCAAAGGTACAAGAACCACATAGTCAGATTTGGTAGCAGCAACTGTGAGACACACAGAGATGTATTAGTAAATCAGTTCAGTTGGCCCAAACAGGTGTTCAGGTGCCTCCTCTCAGTTTCAGTCATGTTACCACATACACTTAAGGAAAGTTGCCGGTTTAGTAATAACAAAGAAACAGGCATCAGAACTCTGTTCTGTAATCCCTGACCTTCAGCAAGGACAGTCTTAGACTGCTGCTTTTGTGGTCTTTCCTCTGCTTGACTAGATTCTGTCACTTCTCATCATTCATTATCTTGTATCTTCTCTTTCTTTTATCACTGATTTTTCTTTTTATTCCTTAATCATTAATATCTTTATTTTATAACCTTTTCAGTGATTCTCAATTTTAATGTACATAAAATCACCTAGAAAGCTGAGCATAGTGGTGTACATCTTCAGTCTTAGCTCTCGGAGGCAGGAGCAGGTAGATTTCTGTGAGTTCAAGGCTAGCCTGATCTACAGAGAGACAGCCAGGGCTACATAGTGAAACCCTGTCTCAAAAAACACCACTAAACAAAATCAGAAAATTTTCTCAATTGCAGAAACATATTTAACAAGTTTGGTCTGAGAATATCCACTTCTAACTCATGTAACAATCCTTTGGGAAGACAGAATATACTTTAACTATTAATGCCGTGGTTAATGACTAATTTTTGCATATTTCCTGAGCTTGAAGTAATAATTAGTATTTAATATCATGTCTCCCATTGTCCAGGAATAGCTTCTACATTTATTTATCTCTCCCATCTGTATATATCAAGTTCCTCATATTCTCAGCTTATTTGGAACTGACAGTGTTATGACCTGATTATCAAATGTCTTAAATTACTTTTAGTAATTTTTTGTTAGTTTGATTTTTGATTTTTCTTTTTAAAAATTTTTATTAGTTTGTTGAGAGTTTTGTACAATTTGTTTTGATCATAATCACCATCATTCCCCCAACTCTTCCCGGATTCATGCTCTTCCCTATCCACACAATTTTGTGTCCCCTTTTAAAGACAGTCATTAAGATCAAGTTGTGCTGCCCAAATATTCTTGGAGGCATGATCTTTGACCAGAATAGGGATGCCTTCTCTACACTCCTAGAGAAAACTTTTTCTCCCTCTACCAGCAGCTAACAAGTACCAAAGCTCTTCAGCTAGGAGTGGGATTTCATGTCCAACTCCCATCTAAATGTGATACAATTATTCAATGAAATATCATTAAACTGTTAAAAAATGAAATTAGCAGGTAAATGTATGAAGCTAGAAATAATCATCCTGAGTGATGTAACCCAGAAATAGAAAGACAATAATCTCAGGTTTACTCTCATTACTCTGGATGTTAGCTTTACATATATATGTTCTATTTAGAATACCACAGATATTAGGAATTTAGTAAGGGACCATTGGAGAGAGGGGACTTCAAGAGAGGAGACAGAACACAGTAATATAAAAGGAGAATAATGGAAGAAAAATGGTTAAATTTTGGTGGTAAATAGGAAGATAGAGGAATAGGTAAAGGGAGGGATAACTAACAATAGAGGCCCCTTTAAAAGGCCATACAGAAACCTACTACTATAAAACTTCAAAAATATATACATATGTGAAAAAGGTAGTTTAATGAAGTTACTCTACAACAGGGGATAATATCCCAATGAGACACCCCATGTTAGCAAATGTAAACCTTAGTACCAGGAATGGGTTAACTCTTTTTGAGGTGTTGGTCAGTGAGGTCATGTAGACCTCCAAATATTATAGGCTATTGCCAGCACTTCTAACTACTTGCTAGAACTTGATGGTAAGACCTGTTGCTGAAGATAATACATACTTGAATCACAGAACATGGAAACATCAAGCTGGTACTCACCTACAAACTACAAAAATGACTAGCCTAACAAGATAGATTCACTGGTACAACAGTGGCACGAACGTTATTTGAGTAACTGGCTACTACTGTGTGCCTCAAAGGCCCTACTCCATGATATGGAACTCATACCTGGCACTATTCAAAAGACAAACAACCTGTTGCTAGGTAGGTCATAAACTCTAGTAGAGAACCCAATACTATTATTCTTTTAATTGCACATAGTATTAAAACTACTCCTAATGATTTAATGCTATTCCCATAGATTTATTAGAGTGTCTCTCAAACCTCATCAGACAATCTTCTCTTTGCAATAGTTGGAAATTAATACAGATAACCCAACTGGTTAGCATATAGAGAATTAATATGTCCCTTGTTCTACTTCATAACTACCATTATTTCTTTTAATATTTTGCTTTATATTATCCAGCAACGGATGGAAGTAGATGCAGAGACCAACTGCCAAACACAAGGTGGATCCAGGGGAATCCCACAGAAAGGAATGGAGAGGGGATTGCAGGAGCCAGTGAAGTCAAGGACATCATGAGAACACAGCCCACAGAATCAACTAAGCAGAGCTTATAAGGAATCACAGAGACTAAAGTAACAATCATGGAGCTTGTATGGATCTGAGCTAGGTCCTCTGCATATGTGTTATGGTTGTATAGCTGTGTGTTCTTGTGGAACTTCTAACAATGGGTGTGGGGGGAGTGTCTCTGACTCTTTTGCCTGCATTTGGGACCTTTATCCTCCTAATAGGTTTTCTCATCTAGCCCTGGTAAGAGGCTTTGTGCCTAGTCTTATTGTGACTTGTTAGGCGATGTTTGGTTGATAACCCTGGTAGGCTTGCTCTTTTTTAAGGAAAATGTGAATCTGGGAAAGAGGGGAGTAGGGGGAGGACTGGGAAAAGTGTAGGGAGGTGAAAATGTTATCAGGATGTCATTTATGAGAGAATAATAAAAGAAAAGAGAGATTTTTTGCCTCCAGTTTATTATGTCATGCCAAGCATTCCCCTTTTTTGCTAGCATAACACTTTTTGGTATTGAAAATTTCTCATCTGTGAAGAAGCAATCAAAACTTTCAGTAGGAAAGACTAAAATTTATTTCTTTTTTAAAATTATTTTTTTATTATTTTACATCCGGACTGTAGTTTCCCCTACCTCCTCTCCTTCTATCCCCTCTGCCTTCCCCTGCCATGCCCCCATACTCTACCTATGTTTCTTTTCAGAAAGGGGCAGGGCCTCCCATAGATGTCAACAAAGTATGGCATATAAAGTTGAGGTAATACTAAGTTCTGCAACCCAGTATGAGGACTAGGTTCCCAAAAGCTATCCCAAGTTAGGGATAGGCCCTGATTCCACTGCTTGGAGTCCCACAAATAGACCAACTTACATAATTGTGGCACATATGTAGGGGGCCTAGGCCTGCCCCATGCAGGCTCCCTAGCTATTGGTCCAGAGTCTGTGAGCTCCTATGAGCCCAGGTTAGTTGTTTATGTAGGACTCTCTGGGTCCTACAATTCTTCCTACCTCTCAGACAGGATTCCTGGAGCTCAGTTCAGTGTTTCTCTGCATCTGTTTCCATCAGTTAGTAGATGAAGGCTCTCTGGTGACAATTAGGGTGGTCACCAATCTGATTACAGGAAACAGTCAGTTCAGGCATCCTTTCCGCTATTGCTAGGAGTCCTAACTGGGCTCATCCTTGTGGGTTCCTGGAAGTTTCCCTGGCATCAGGTTTCTCCCAAACCTGAAACACCCTACCAACAAGATATCTCTTTCATTACTCCCCCTGTCTGTCTTGCCCCTAACTCACCAGACCTGATCCCCCATGTTTCCTTCTCCATAGCTCCACTTTACCTAGGAGATCTCTTGTGTTTCCTCTTCCCAGGGAAATCAGTGCTTCACTCTTTCAGCCCTCCTTGTTACCTAGCCTCTCTGGGGCTGTTGATTGTAGCATGGTTATCCTTTACTTTATAGCTAATATTCATTTTTGAGTGAGTACATACCATGATTGTCTTTCTGGGCCTGAGTTACCTCATTCAGGATGTTTTTTTTCTAGTTTCATTCATTTGCCTGAAAATTTCATGATATCATTGTTTTTTTTAACAGCTGAGTAAATGTACCACATTTTCTTTGTCAGTTATTCAGTTGAGGAGGATCTAGGTTGTTTCCAGGTTCTGGCTACTATGAATAATGCTACTATGAACATAGTTGAACAAGTGTCTTTGTGGTATGATTGGGCATTCAATAGATGTGTGCCAAAATTTGATATAGCTGGGTCATATAGATTGATGTCCAACTTTCTGAGAAACTGCCATATCGATTTCCAAAGTGGTTGTACAAATTTGCACTCCTACCATCAGTGGAGTGTTCACCTTACTTCAAATCCTCTCCAACATAAGCTATTATCAGTGTTTTTGATCTTAGTCATTCTGACAGGTGTAAGATGATATCTTACAGTTATTTTGATTTACATTTCTCTGATGGCTAAGGATGTTGAACAGTTCTTTAAGTGTATCTTGACTATTTGATATTCTTCTGTTGAGAATTCTCAGTTTCGATCTGTACCACACTTTTTGATTGGATTATTTGGTATTTTGGTGTCTAGTTTCTTTATATATTTTGGAAATTAGGCCCCTGTTAGATGTGGGGTTGGTAAAGATCTTTTCCCATTCTGTGGCCTGCTGTTTTGTCTTATTGACAGTGTCCTTTGCCTTGCAGAAGCCTTTCAGTTTCATGAGGTCCCATTTATTGTCAATATCAGTGTCTGTGCTACTGGTGTTATGTTCAGAAAGTTGTCTCCTGTGCCAATGCATTCAAGGCTACTTCCTCATTTCTATTCTATCATGTTCGCTGTAACTGGATTTATGCTGAAGTTTTTGATCCACTTGGACTAGCCTTTTTTGCAGAGCTATAGGTATGGATCTATTTGCATTCTTCTACAAGCTGACGTCTAGTTATATCATCACCATTTTTGAAGATGCTTTCCTTTTTCCATTGTATAATTTTGACTTCTTTGTTAAAAATCAGATACTTATGGGTGTGTGGATTTATGTCAGGGTCTTCAGTTCCATTGTATTGATCCACCTGTCTGTTTTTATGCCAATATCACACTGTTTTTATTACCAGGGATGGTGACACCTCCGGAATTTCCCTTATTGTACAGGATTGTTTTAGCTATCCTGTTTTTTCCCATATGAAGTTGAGTATTGTTCTTTCAGGGTCTGTGAAGAATTGTGTAGGAATTTTCATGGGGATTGCATTGAATCTGTAGATTACTGTTGATAAGATTGCCATTTTATTATGTTAATCCTACTGATCCATGAGCATGGGAGCACTTTCCATAATCTGATATCTTCTCCAATTTCTTTGTCATACAGCTCTTTCACTTGTTTGGTTTCAATTACCCCAAGATATTTTAAATTATTTGTGGCTATTGTAAAGGGTGTTGCTTCTGCGATTTCATTCTCAGCCTATTTATCATTTGTATATAGATGGGTTACTGACTTTTTTGGAGTTAATCTTGTATCTAGTCACATCATTGAAGGTGGTTATCAACTGTAGGAGCTCCCTAGTAGAATTTTTGTGGTCACTTATGTATACTATAATATGATCTACAAACAGCAAAAGTTTGACAGAGGCCCTTTAAATCAATTACTCAACTCTCGTGCTTTGACAAATGATGAATATGAGTATCTGAAGATGCTTAAGTTCATAGAGCTCCTGAGTACAAGTACCTGGCCAGGTCATACACCGCCTGAAGCTCAGCTCAGTGTCCATTTCACTATGTAAGCTTCTATGTCTCTTCAATACTCTGGCTGGAGGGGTTTGGGGGGTTAATTTGTTTTTAGTTTTTTTTTTTGTGAGTCAGGATCTCTTATAGCTCAGTTTGGGCTCAAACTTGCTCTGAAGTCAAGCCTGTCTTTGAACTCCTGATCCATCTGTACTGTTTGAGTGCTGAGATTACAGGTTTGAGCTACCACACCCAGCTTAGATCTGATGTTTTGTTTCGTTTTTAAAGGTTGTTAAAATATAAAATGTCTAGAACCTAAATCACACAGTAGGTAGAAAAAAATTGCACACGTGTCTGTCTCTCTGTCTCTGTCTGTCTCTCTCTCTCTCTCTGTATATATATATATATGTGTGTGTGTGTGTGTGTGTGTGTGTGTGTGTGTGTGTTTTATGTGTGACTGGAACAGGCTATAGAGATACAGGTGAAAGAGCCCCAACCTGGGGAGTAAAGAATTCCTACTGAGAGGGGTTTCCCCTCGCCAGCCCCAGGTGCATTTCTTCTTGTCTTATCCCTTGAGAATAAAGCTGTTCCAAGCATGTGACTCCTGTTCTTGGCAAAGTCTGAAGCTGCCGCTGTTTGCTTTGGAGCACAAGTCCAGGTGTTAAGCTCAATCAATCTTAAAGGCCATAAATTTTAAAGGCCAGAATTCCTGGAACAGTTGCCTATTCCAGCTCACTCTCTTGTATGAGTATTGCAAAACACTACCACAGTTCTCGATATATAAGAAGCCAGAAATTCTCTTAGACCCCTCCTCCTCTACTAACACTTAGGTAATTTTTTAATCTTCCTACCACAGTGGTCACTCTGAAGTTTAAACCTTTAAGGTTTAAAACTAGAGACATCTCAAAAAGTTTACCTTAGCAGAAAAAAGAGGAACTTTGTCCTAAGAGGTTCTAACTATGTGATATTTTGATCAACACCAAATATTTTAAACTATTTGTAAAAAATTCTAATTCATGACTTCCCCAAACATCCCAGCACAGACTCTAATTATAGCACCTAAGTTTTAAAATTCTTGGTTTATGGTTTACCTGTTGTAGAGAGACAGTCCGGAAATTTGGAGACTGTAGTCATGGATACACATTGATGATATATGAGAACTGAGAATATCCATCCTTTTGATTTTCTCAATTAAGAATCTAGGTATAGACTGGTGAGAGGGCTTAGTAAGTAAAGACACCTGCTGCTCAATCTAATGACCTGAGTTCAAGTCTCAGAACTCACACGGCAGAAAGAATTGACCACCACAAGTTTCATCTGATCTCCATATGTGCATGGTGGTACATACAGGTCCACATGCAAATAAATAAATATGACATTTTAAATTAATGAGTCTCAGCTCCTTTTCTACTTATATTTTCGTCTCTGACATGCTTTTGATAAGTTTACCTAGGACAGTTAGAGAGCCTCAGAATGGGTACAAGCAATAAACTTTCAGTCTTTCTGTCTTGCTCACATATTTCCACATGTACTAGGGTTCTTTAAGGAACTGATCCATTATCTAAGAAAGTCTATTGCATTAGATTTATATATAAGTAATTAAATATTTCAATGGAAAATAACAGTTGAAAATATTCAGACAAAATATATGTTTGAAAATGATATGATGTTTTACTGTGACTTCAAATGAACCTGAAGTCTACAAGCAGGAGGATTTGAAGTCACGTGGGACAGTGTTTCTTCTCACACTTTAATAATATATACCTTAGCCTTCTGGGAGTCTAGTCTCCAGCTACTCAAAGTGTGGTCCTTGCATCAGAGCATTAGCATCATTTGGGAGCTCTCTAGTACTGCAACAAGTCAATTTCCACACCAGACCTGCTAAAACATAATCTCTAAGTGTTGTGATATATTATTTAAGATTTACTAAAACTTGCCTGAGGATTCAGAAAGCAAAGTCAGCCACAAGCCATAGAAGTCAGGCACACACCTTAGTCCCAGCAGCCAGAAGTTGAGGAGGACTCAAGATTAAGAGGTAGATGGAGCTTTGTGAGTTCAAAGCCACCCAGATCTACACAAGATTGATCCAGTCCTAAAGAGAAACAGCTCACACAAAGATGATCTCAGCACCTGGGATCACACACCTCTAATCCCACCATCAGGGAGGTATATAAGACAGGAGAAAGGTCTCAGAATCAGACATTCATTCTCCAGCCACATTGAGAATAGGAACACCCCAGC